TACGTCCAATGGATGATGATCTGATTAGTCGACTAATCGCAAAAATAATCGGTGACTAGTCGACTATCAAAATAATCGTTTGTGGCAGCCCTAAGGCCAATAAAGGTGTAAAGCGCTTACGCCCTTTCTTTCATGCAAAAGGTGAACTGCTGCTCAGCGTCCAGGTCAAGTGATCAAAGCCAGCATAAAAGAATGACTGATATTCCTTCAGCACAGAAACACTGTGAAAGTTCAGCTGTGGCGAGTTCAACTTTAAATGTCTCCCTCTGGGATACTGAAAGTGTGAATAAATGTAACCATGCACAGTGTAAATATCCTGTCTCTATAATGGACCTTGTACCTTTGTCCCACTTCTCTAATTATGGCCGAGTACAGCTCATGTGAGGCGGCATGCTTTAGAGGATTAACTGCTCTCCTGGACAGAACGAGGGAAACGCCGCGGCCTCTCGTCCTTTGAGTGTCTGTAACTTTACCATTTTAAACGTACATGTTTCAAATCAAGAGATGTTCTCCCTGCACTTTCCGTAAATGAAGGTACTGTGCATGGTCTTCTGAGCTTAGGAATTAAGTCGTGTCAGAGAATATAGGTCAGGTCCCGAGGGCACGACAGCATTCGACTGCAATCCCCATCCTGACTTTTTTGCCTAATGACATTTTCTTCTCTAATCCAGACTGTTAGTGAGCAGCTCGCAGATAAAGTAGAAGATTATTTCTCACCTCTCCAATTGTTCTGCATCCAGTTCATTGCCCGTCTCTCCTCCCGTGGTGTACTCCGTCTCATACTGAGACTCGTCCAGTTCTGGGTTACGTCTGCGCCTCTTGCCCCTGTTTGCGGAGGGTTTGCGGCCTCCGGCAGTCTCTTCTGAGGGGCTCGAGCTGGTCCCCCCGCTGTGGAAGAACATTTCCGATGGTCGGCTGTTTGTCCGTTCAGAGTACCTGCAGAAAAAAGACATGAGAACGCGGCTTCTTCTTTCACGGGCTTACCCCCCCGAGGGGGTAATGATTATAAGTTTAGAGGAGCTTAGAGCTCCGAGCCTTTTGTTTTTCACCAAAGAGATTTTTGCATTTGTGTTTTTCATCAGTTTGGGAAACAGTAATGACAAACATCATCCCACACATGGAAAAGATCAGCAGCATTTAAACCATAACGTGCTTGACGCTGCAGAGCACACGAAACAGACAAAACTAATCGATAACGTCAGCGGAGTTTTTCCATGTTAATCTCTGATTTAATGATCGATACTACTTTCTTACATTATGCAGCTAGACTGGAATTACATGTAAAAGGGATTTGGGGAGGGGGCTTTGCATTATGAGGCTAAGATTTAAAAAAGCAGATTGTTTTCATCGTGCAATATGACCCAGAGTTACTGCAAAAAAGACGATCATGTGTGCTGCCACCCTGTTTCCTTTTCCCTCAGCTTCCTTTAGCTTTTTTAGTTTTCACAGAAAGGTGTAGTCGAACATTTTTAAAATATTTAACCAAAGATAAAAAGCTCTAACGACATTATAATCAAAATAATAAAAGAGTGCTCCTAAATGCCCCGGGCAGACGCCATATGGAGGAAGGCAAAGGTAGACCTTTACTAACCCATTTATGATTATTGCTGCTCATATCTACAATCTGACTCAGTGCCGTATGGAGGCTCGCAGTGACCAGGAAGCAGCTACAGCTCTTTAATAATGAGAACGAGAGACACATTCAATTTTGTGGGTTTGTGGGGATTTGTGGAGGAATCCAAATCCAATGGCACAGATATTACAAGCTCCTAAAAAAACAACT